CCAACAGAAAGTGAAACACTGCTTCTTTCATCAGACCTTTTATTGTTATGATCATCTTTATTTTTTTGATCCTGGACGTGCAGAAGAAAAGGCTCAGCCATGCAGGAGAAACCTTTCAGCTTCTCCAATGTAGAGGAGCAGAGACCACCTCCTCTTTCTTGTGTTGGTTTAGCCTCTAAGGAAACAAAAAAAAAAACAAGAATTTCATTTTTAAATGTGATAAAATTGTGAATTTGTATATTCATGTGCTCCATGTTCACCTTTAACCATCTGAGATGGTGCAGCTTCACACCCCAGATCTTCCACCTGCTGATCTGTCACTGTAACTTTGGCTCGTTTAGATGGCAATCCAATTTCATCACCAGGGGAAAGCTTCAGCTGTAGCAAAGAACCAGTGGAGGTTTAATAATCTCAGCTGCATTAAATTAAATGCAATTCATGCAAACCCAACTTTTCAGAGTTTTTAAGTTATAATGCTCTTTCTACATCAAAACCATTGGTATTTCACTTGATTTATTCATTTCTGTGTAATCTTTGGTCTGTGCAGAATCCTCTCCCTGTTCAAGAAAAACAAGTAGCCATGATACATTATTGTAGAGGTGTCTCTACCGTGCACTCAGGGAAGGACCTACATTAACCACATTGCACCTGAACAGTACCTTGGAGTATTCATTTTTGGTTATTTTTAAAATCTTTGTTATTGGTTGGAAGAAAAACAACAAATAATTCATAATAAAATAAATGTAGAGTTAAAGCCAATAATTAATCACATGCATGCTTAGATTGATTTTGAAAGGATTAGAAAATATCAACTAAATATAATTGAAACTTTTATCTATGCTAATGTTTGATTCAGAAAGTGGATTCAATATAGATCACTTTAGATTAGATATAAATATTTTAAAATTTTGCAATATTTATACACACATGGTGTATATTTTACTTTTCTTTCTTTACATATGGACAATAAAAAATATATCTAATACAGAAGTGTTGATTCTCTGACATGTATGTCCTTATTCTGTATAACATATCTTTTGGTCATGATCCAGATTTCATGACCATAGGATAGGAACATAGAGCGACCAGTAAACTTAAAGCTTTGCCTCTTCACTCAGCTCTCTCTTCACCATAACAGACTGCTTCAGCGTCTGCATTACACAGTGAGGAAAAAAAGTATTTGAACACCCTGTTATTTTGCTAGTTCTCCCACTTAAAAATCATCAAGAGGTCTGAACTGGTCATTATAGGTGCATGTCCACTCTGAGAGACCTATTCTACAAAAAAAAAATCCAGAAATCACAATATATGATTTTTTTTAACTATTTTTTGTATGATACAGCTGCAAATAACTATTTGAACACATGAGAAAAATCAATGATAATATTTGGTACACTAGCCTTTGTTTGCATTTACAGAGATCAAATGTTTTCCGTAGTTTTTGTCCAGGTTTGCACACACTGCAGGAGGGATTTTGGCCCACTCCTCCACACAGATCTACTCTAGATCAGTGAGGTTTCTGGGCTGTCGCTGAGAAACACAGAGTTTAAGCTCCCTAAAAAGATTCTCTTTTTAGTTCTGGAGACTGGCTAGGCCATGCCAGAACCTTTATATGCTTCATCCAGAGCCACTCCTTGGTGATCCTGGCTGTGTGCTTCGGGTCATTGTCATGTTGGAAGACCCAGCCTCCACCCATCTTCATTGCTCTAACTGAGGGAAGAATGTTGTTCCTCAAAATCTTGCAATACATAGCCCTGGTCACCCTCTCCTTAATACAGGGCAGTCGCCCTATCTCATGTTTAGTAAAACACCCCCAAAGCCTGATGCTACTTCCCCCATGCTTCACAGTAGTGATGGTGTTCTTAGAGGGGGAACTCATCGTCTTCTTCCTCCAAACACAGTTATTGGACGAACAAAAAGTTCTAATTTGGTTTCATATGACAACATGACTTTCTCCCATGACTGGACCGGCTGGGCATGAACCCTCCAGCATCCCGCAGAGAGTGTAGAACAGGTCCACAGTTCCACAGCCAGGAACAAATCTGCACAGCTCCTCCTGAAGCTCAGGTTCAACAATCAGCCAGTTTTCTGAGGCAGCTCTAAGGATTTCCTTGCTAAAATACAGTGAACAACACCAGCAGGTAACATTGTTACCTAAATCTTTACAGACAGCTGAAACTTCAAAATGGATGTCTCCTCCAGTCTTCCTGCAGTCATTGAATTCCAAGTGAGAGGATTTTAACCAGTGACAACAATCAGATGTTTTTGATTGGACTAAGCCAAAGGAGCACGATAGTAAATCTATGTGGAGGCTTTTGAAGCTCAAATTACAGCTGCACATCTTCCAAAACTCTGTTTGGTTGGATTCTAAATCCTCCTATGTTTTGGCTACCACTATTGTATTACATATCCTTTTGTACTGGGGATAGAGAATCAAACTAGAACAATTTGATTCTTTTGGCCAAATTTTTCATACATAAGTGTCGATTTCAAAAAATTACCCCATCTCCCAATATTTTTAAAAGTGAGATACTTTTATTAAAAGAAGTACCAACCCATTGTAAAAAGCCTAAATCAATGATGCAATATATTGAGAATTTACTTTAAAATTCAAGAGTCCTTTTTTGTTTTGTTTTTTTCCTTTTCTTTTTATGTAATTACTCTGTTCTACGATCTGATATTTGTGTTTTCTAATTGTATATAGGTTCTCTATATGATTCTATTTGTTATATTATACATACTCTGCTCAGCTTCTTAAGATATTCAATTTACAATTTTGTATGATTGTTTTGATATACCTTTTAATACTTTGATTCTTCAATAAAAATTAAAAAAACAAAACTTTTTCCTTCCACCCAACTTTCCATTACTGTAACTTCAACACAGCAAAACATCTAGTTTGTTTTCCTCTTATCCTTTGTGGTATACAATCAATGTTTTGTCAATAAGTGCGAAACTGAATTCTATTGAAGTTACATAAAGAAAGTTAAAGGTGAAATGTTGGTGGTGATGATAATATTATGATACAAAAGCGGACTTCACCTTTCCTCTTGAGAGCTGCTGCTGTTCCGCAGGATTTGGTCTAATCTCACACTGCTGTCTGCTGCTCTGCCCTCCAAAGTACCTGCTGATGGAGGTCTGAGTCGTGCTGAGCTTTTTCACAGACTTTGGCATGATTACATTTCTTCTCACCTTCGACTAATTATAAAGATTAAAAAGAAATTGATCCAAAGGTAATCAAAGCAGTGGGGAAAAACTATCCCGGCTGTTCAAAACATAGCGGCGCAGGAGGTGACATCAGGCAGGCGCGTAATATGACGCTATTAATCCGGTTCCGGTTTCGTATTTTAGAAATAAGAGTCTACTATCGGAAATATGCAGATAATACAGCTTCCATTGGTCATTTTTAATCAGAAAAACCGAAATAAATTAGATACTACTAGACATTAAACTATTAATAGAATCTATAATGCTGCAAAATCAAAGTTGGTGCACAGATTCTTCTTTTATTTTCACGAAGCTGAAGTTGGTTTCCGATTCTAGTGGTCTGTGGGAAGTGGGGGAGCTGCAGCGGCCCCTAGTGGCCAGAAGGAGACTTACATTTTTTGTTAAAAATACTTGTACAAAATTTATAAATTTCTTATGAATATTTTGGAATATTATTAAATGAAAAAAATGTATTTTACTATTGCGTGTATTTGGATTTTACTTTCATTATTTTGAGGCCTAATCAACACAAGTTCACAAATTTATTTGCGAATAACTGATTATTGTAATAATTGTCAACTAATTTATTAATAAATTAATCCTTAACTGAAGTTTAGAGACTAAAAAATATGCCTTTAGGTGACAGATCAAAAACCTTTGAGCGGCAATTATACCAAAATTGTAAAACAAATAAGAAAACATTTTTTATTTAAGATAGAAAAGCTTTTAGTTAATCGATTAATCAAAAAAATAGTTGACAGATTGATTTGCAAAACACTTGCAGCCCTTAATTAATAGCGCATATATATTTACCTGAGAACTGATTATGTCTGTATGTTACAGACCCTGGTTACGTGCACTGAAGTGTAAATGGAAATAAAGTAGTTAATCTAAATCTATTGACTTTTTACTGTATTTTAAGTAGGCCTATAGGCTCATAGGTCTTTTGTCCAAAAAGAACAAAAACAATTTATAGCACCCCCTGTTCAAAATGACCTCCAGTGGCCCTGGCTTCATCGTTTTCATTTCTGCTTTTTATCTTCTGTGGGGTTTTTTTTTATTTAGAGTGTGACATTCTAGGGCTGTTTCTATTCAGATCACATGGGGAGGAGTCTTGTCATCAAAAGCAACTGAACAAAAAAAAAAATTGAGAGAAACGTTTCTGCTCTACAGAGCTGAAGTTCAGGATGCAGCTGTACGGAACTCTTGTCCTAATTTTAACTTTCTCTACTGGTAAGATTGTCTTTCACTTTTAATATAAAAGGAAAATGAAAAACAGGCTTTATTTAACTAATTGGGGTAGTTGTTTAAAGTTTAAAAGTATTATCCGACTCTCTGTATTTAATGTTGGCATGAATAGTTTTAGAAAATTTTTAATTTATTCAGGTTTTATACAAAATCCATAGTGTAATTTTAAATGGAGTTCTTGATTTGTTCATTTCTTTATAGGAGAGTAAAGACAGATTGTAGTCAATAATTAACACCAGATCATTCTTGTTAAATAATCACATTAAAGTGCTTTAAAACAAAAACAAAAATTATCAGACTGAAAAACTTGACTTAAAACTTTTTAAACATACTTGTAAATATGAATCAGAAATAGTTGGTCAAGTTTGTTGTCTTATTTGTTGCTCATGTGGAATTGTTGCTTTTAAGTTGTTGTTGCTCTCTTTGTTCTTTACTTAGCATGTGGATTGAGATGCTACTCATGTGTCGCAGTTGAGTCATGCACAGATATCCAAACCTGTCCTGAGGCATTAAACCGATGTTCTTCTGTCAAGATACAAGGTAAGCTGTTATTTATCTGAAGAACTATGGTGTTTAAAAACTTCATTACCAAAAACATGTTCATATTGTAATCGTGTTTTTGTATGAGCACTTTATGGCCATTATACAGTTTATTCATACTGATGAGTTTCCTCTTTTGCCTTTTAAGGATTGGTTACCAAAAGCTGCATGACCAGTGTAGGATGCATTGGTGCCATGAACTGCTGTGAAGGGGACCTGTGCAATGGAGCCATACGAACCGGGCCCGGTCTAATCCTGCTGCTTCTGTCTTCAGCCCTGATGATGCTCTTTGTTTAAGGCTTCATTTTATTTTGTTTGTTTTTTGGTGTTGTTTATTTGCTATTGTTTGATCTCTTGGCAGCTAAGCTGCAGGAAGCCAGTACGGAATTGTGGTATTTTTATTCATCATGTAATCTTAATCAGTAAGAATATGTAAGCCACAAATTAATAAATTGTTTACTCAACAACCATGTCTGTATGTTGATAATTTTAGTGTTATAAATTAGCAAGTCTAATTTTCAATATTCAAGTTTTAAAATATGAAGTATAGCAGGTTGTTTCAGCGGCTGCAAACCTATGAAATGTTTACCTCTTGCCAACAACAAATTATGTTTGACGTTTGTTCCATCATATAGTCTGTGTGAATGAGGGGTAAGAAGAACAACAGCGACGGCAGACATTAAACTAGAAGAATCTAATAAGACAAAATACTGTAACCATAGAGGAGTGCACTGATAAAGCAACACCATACTTACAGTAATAAATACGGACAAAAACTATTTAGTCAAGACAGGGCATTGCAGGAAAATTGTCAAAATAGAAATATGGAAGAAAAACCTGCATCATAACTTGAGGGATCTTAACTCTAAAAAAACAGACATGGAAAGTATTTGGGCTGACATTTTTGATATGAACCTGAATATTAAGCAACTAGGGATTTCCAAAAAGACAATAGTCCAAAAAACACACTTCCTTTTTTCCTTATGCTGCTGACGTTAAGTGTAGATGTAAAGAAGTTTTCCTGCTCCAAATATTTAAACTAATAAACAAAGAGCTGACATATAAGGACTCTATTGTCTCAGTTTGTTCAAATCTTAATCAGCAACATAAACCTTCAGCAAGGTAAAGAGCAAACCTTAAACAATTAGCATTTTTGGTAATATTGCACTTTTCTTTACACACTTTGATTTATACCAAAGGTTTGGAGTGCATTACCTGGGAATAACAGGGGGTTGTGTAAATACATGCTGAGTTAAGTTCATGAAAAACATGACTGAAATTAAATAAACTAAAATGAATGTATCAGGTCAAGTATATTAGGTTAAGACAAAGTCAACAAAGTTAAAACATCTCTTATTTTTTACATTATTTTGTACAGCAGCAGGATCAAATCAGATCAGAAAGTGCATGAAAAATTACACAGCCTAAGATACTTTAGAAGCTCTTGATAGCGCAGATGAAAACGTTTTTTTTTTTTTTATCTTAAATGAAAAATGTTCACACATTGTTTTACAATGTTGGTACAATAACTGCTCTAAGTGGGTTACTCTGTCAGCTAAAGATATATTTTAGTGTCTCTATGCTCCAATTAATAATTAATCCATTATGAGTGGACGATTATTCAATAATTGATTAATCACGAATAATTCGATTAAGTGGTTCAGCCCTCAATCTGAACATAGAACAACTAGTTATTACCGTAAAAGACAATAGTCCAAAACACACACATCCTTTTTTTAGTTCTGCATTTTTTTTGTTACCGTGAGAAAAAAAAAATGCAGAACTAATCTCCAAACATCATGTAGCAAACAAGCAATAGTTTATCTTTGACGTAGCCTATATTGTTTATTGTTCTCTAGTTTGTTTCTTCAGATCTTCATCAGAAACATAAACCTTAGACAGCCTTAAACAACATAAAAAGCAAACCTAAACAATTTTTGTTTTTCCTCAGAATGTACTGCAAATCTGATGTATTTAATTTACCAAAAGGTCTGATGTGTATCAAATTGGGAATAATGGGGGGTTATGTGACTAAATGCTATTTTAGTTCATGGAAAAATTTACTGAAATTAAATGAACTCAAATTCATGTATTACTGTAGGTCAGGTATCTCGTATCTGAACAAAGTCAACAAAGTTAAAACCTGAAGTGTTTTTTACATTGTTTGGCACAGCAGCAGGTTTAAATCAAATCAGGAAAGTGCATAGAAAATGACACAGCTTAAACCTCACAAAAACATACGCTGATGTCCTACAGCATTCCTAAAACTGAATTTGGAATATGACTAACAGATTTGGACAAAATCATTTTCCTAGTTTTTTTTATTAAATTTATACAAACTATGTTCATCATATTACAAGGATGGACATATGCATGTATGCTGAGGCTTAAGGCAGGTAAGAGAACAACATATTAAAAACAGAAAAAGGAGGAATTAAACAAATTCAGTTCAATTCAGTTTATTTATATAGCGCCAATTCACAACACATGGCATCTCAAGGCACTTTACAGTTAAACCAGATCATACAGTCAAATTGATTCAAAGTTTTCTATCTAAAGAAAACCAGTTGACTGAATCAACTCATTGACTGGAATGCAATCCCTTAGCAGATGACATTATAAATACAGTACGAAATTCTATGATAGCGGATTAGGAGGGCATCAGGAAATGCAAAGAGGTCACCTGAGAGGGGCAGCCAGTGATCAAGACAGTCTGTACACCATTATCCAAAGCAGGGTTCCCTCAGGGCCCACCATGTTTCATATCCATTACAGTTGATGTGTCTCTACACGAGCACACCCAATTTAAATTATTGCATTACCTCCTTGGCAGCCACCAAATGCTGCAAAAGCCTATTATTCACCTTTTTATTCAGGTCAGGCTTGTGGAGGCAGGGAAACACCTAAAACATGCAGGACAGAATACCACTACCTATTCTTGGCTTTGAAACAAGTCAGAGAAGCTCTTATGATTAAGATTAGAAATAAAACAACACAGTACTTTATTGAATGGAACATTGGCAAAACACTTTGCTTCAGATTGATGAGCTATCTCCTAAAGTCGAAAACAGAAAAGGTCCTGTTATTTCTTCTTAAAGAAATAAAACAGACTTTTTCAGGTTTACAGTGAACAACAGTGATATCAGAATACTTCAAAAGTGAGCTGATTTGTGCCAAAGTTAAATAATCGGTTCTATAAGGAAGGAAATTCAGCTATTTGATTGTTTTAATTTTTCATCATACTTGTTAGAATTTCCATTTAATTTTAGATTAGCATGTTTTAAGAGGAGCTCA